TATATCCTGGTATATATTTTTTGGTGGGAACACTCATGGGATGGGAGATTGGTGGAAGAGATGGCTATGATCAGATGTTGCCTCGAGACGGAGGTACCTGACGTTTTCGAGACCCTCGTGCGGAAGTGCACTGACCCAGGCTGTGAGTATAAATTATCACTCTGTGATAAAGTAACGAGTATTGCGGATACTATTTGTGTTAATTGTGTAACGCTTTAAAAGGCGGGAATTCATTTCGCCGATTGAATATCTCGATGCTAGATGAAGTAATAGTCGATAAAGTATATTCGAATAATGCGTTCTGGTATTTCTAGTTATTACAAAAAAATATTTCTATATTTTTATAGCATTCACGTGACACAATTGATCAAGTCCAAGAATGTTAAATTTTGAATCGTTCAGTGGTCAACATTGATACCATGAGAATAAAATGTAAAGCCTAATACAAGGATATCTCATTGGAAAATAAAAATACATGGAAGTATTTTTCTACCTTGTTACGTTTTTACAGTTCGGGAAACTAACGAATTTTTACTTTATTTAGTATTTAAAATTATTAAACTAACAAATTTATGCAATTTAAAGATAATTTCATTCACTTTGTGAAACTTCCGCATGTCAGTCTTGTGAATTCCAAGTAAAATTAACTTTCAGGCTTTTGTTCACGAGTGAACTGATTAAACTTGACGAGCACACGTGCCTTTTCATGGTTTTTATCGCAACTATGTATGGTTGACATACTTCGCATCTGCACTTGATATTCATACATTAATGAAACATAAATGAACCAGTGTGCTAATTGCTCGGTAACAAAATTAAGAGAGGAATGTAAAATATGTAAATCAGTTGTGAAGTGTTTTCTTCTTTCAAACTTTCGCAGCTGCATACAGCGAAAATTGTATATTTATGATGGCACATTAATAATATGTCTATCGATTTATCGATGGTGTACACAAGTAATACTCACTTACTTTGCATGGACTTCGTCGATATTCTGCACATTAACTTGCAGTTGTTTTAATCGACTGCACTCGTACGATCTGGTTCAAGTATCTTAAGAGATAGATTATTTGCAAGGACATGATACTTGAAACAAAATTGATTCCTTTACTTCTTTTGTATTATTTTTATTCAATACTCATTCTTAACCTTTAATGCAATTTTTCAATTTTATACATACCACACTGTGAATTACAATTACAAATAAAGTCAAAATGATTCTAAAATAGGATAAAACAAGAAGTTTTCTTTCTTGAGAAAATTAAGTTTGACGAGATGATGCACATAAAAATGTAGAACGAAATATATTGAAATTAATTTAAAATAAATCTATAGAAATACATACAGTGTGTATCTCTTTTCGTAGACATCACAAAAACATTAATATTCAATGGAACCACATTTGACGTTTGTTAATATGTAATTAAAAGTCTTGTCGTTTGTTCTTTATTAAAGCAAATATTTCCGAGAAGAGCAGCGAGAACTTATTTATATCCCTGGTGTAAACTATTAAGTTATGTAACAAGTTTTTAAATAAAATCTTCTTTTTTCATTATTTTTTTATCTATAATTGTTCAACAATATATTTCCTAAAAGGAACAAATAAAAAATATATATAAAGGAATAGTGCAGATTCGTGTTTATATTAATTTTCTAGTAGCATTTCTTAATTAAATTCTTAATAATAATAATTAACTTTCGCGTACTAATTACAAGTAGGTTCTAAAAATGATTCTCACTCTCACCGCCATTTACGAACAGACTGATATTGATTACCGAAGCCTCGTGTCAACATCCGGAACATCTTGTCTTCCTAAATCAGTTTAGCTGACAAGCGTTCACGCTTTTATCTTAAAATAGTTCTTCCCCTTATTCTGCCTCGAATACACGTATTGTGTCTCGTTATAATAAAGAAGAATACAGTCCCTTTCGATCTAATTTGCCTCATTTTTAACAACGTGTAATTTAACTAAGATATCACAAGTAAAAATTAATATACAAATTATTTAATTTTATCGAATTTTAAATTCCATTTATTTTACTTAAAATAAAATTAGTACTTAGTATTTAATAGTAATAATGAAGTGTATTAACGATTGTGTTCTATACCTGTTATTACTTTATTGTCATATTATGTTTATTGATAAAATTGATTTTGAATAACTACTGAAGATATGCAATGAAATATTGAAATCTGCAAGAGTGAATTGAGTTCATAGCAGAAAAATTATTCCTTCACAGACCATCTATTTATGTAGTTTCTAAAATATATGTAAATCAGGTAAGAAAGATTATTCTAAATTTATATCTGATTGATTTTAACAATATTTAGAATCAGTAGATATAAATATATCCAGGAATCGTGTTCAAAATTTTAATATACTATTGATCAATTTTGAAACAAGTAATGAGAATTGATTGTTTTCCGAGTCTATAAAATATTACAATTACATATCCACACTTGAAATTCAATGAAAAAAATTAACAATGTAAATATTTTTTTTGGAGAAAATTTATAAAAATATCGGTCAAAATTAAAATTAAAAATAAATATGAGCAATTTGCAAGAAATGAGCAATGAAGTGAAGAAAACTATTTTCAAATTAGATAATATTGAAACGATTAAGTGCAATGAGTGGAACAATCTATACTTTAATGTAAATATTTTAATAATAAACGCATCTTATTATAATTTTATTTCAATTCATTTCATTTCCTCGATTCTCTCATGAATAAAATATTAAATCTTCTAGTGACTGATATCACATTTATATTGGTTTTATACTTATACTATATTGTATTCGCAATAATCGTAGAATTTACGAAAATATTTACTTTCATAATTATTTACGTTCCTAATCTTTTAATAATTGTCTAATTTTTTAATTATGTATTCCATTTTTAAATAAGAAAATGTGAAGAAAATTAATGTAAAATTTAAATCTATAAGAAAAAAAATTTTTAATTTTAATTTCAATTTAAATTCAATATTGAACGTAATTAAAAAATTATTAATGTGGCGGCGCGTGCATTTTGAAAAACGCCGCCACATAAAAGTAGATCGTGTTGCCATCTTTTAACTTTTATCTGCATTTTGAAATTAAGGAACCCTAATCGATAAGAACGAGATTGATATTACCGACCTTAAATTCATGATAAAATTTTGTCATTGAAGACAAATCTAAAATTCGTGTATGACAAAATCCAAAATATTTATTTATTTGTAACTGAATTTGCATATATTCTAATCACTGCAAAGATTAATAGCAGTGTTTCACAAAAGAATCGCATACAGCAAACTGCAGTAGTGATTTTCGGTAGTGACTAAAAATACACATTCTATTGGTTCTGTCAGTCGATCGAAGTTTGCTCGAGTGTACAGTGCCGATTTGCTTGTAACGAAATGTTTGGTAAATATCGTGATTTCGTTTTGAAGCACGGATTTTATTCCTGAGATGACACTTTCATATTTACTTAGTTAGTTTTCACTTAGTTAGATCGTCTGATACATTTCACCGAAATATATTCTTCTACCATATGTATTTCCTTTCTTTCTGTCTGTCAGGTTGTTGTTGGTGCTGTTCAGCCTTACGCCCGCGATATAAACGACTTGTTGACAATATTTTTCCAGTAAATCCTCAGGTGAGCTTCATGTTTTTTATGTTCAAAATTATTCAACAATCCTTGTACATCCTTGTACATTATCTTCCATAATGAATACCTGACATTGTACATTAAGTAATTCATGTTTCTCTTAAACAGGAGTTGCTTTATTTAATATAAAAAAAAAAAAAATACTTTTTGGATAATTGAACATATTTGTTGAAACATCAATAGACTTCTATGACTTCTATGAGTTGTTCTCTAGTTTTCCTTTTTTAAAATTAAATTTCGTGCTAATTCTGGTATTATTCTATTTATATATGATATCGTGTTATTATTAAAAGATTTACACGCATAAATAAAAGGAAAGAGCGTCTCGTGATATAATTATTTTTAATACATCATTGAACGATAAAATTATTAATATCCAATTTAGTTTTCACTTACTGATTCTAAGTTTAAAACATCAATCTTTCTTTCTATATAATCTATGTAATATAAAGTTAATATTCAGTATTCTTTTATAAATTGATACTTTTTTATTAGGATGGCTTAGTGAAAAATAATATGGAAAAACTGACCTTTTATTCGCTAAGCAGTCCTGAAAAATTAGACAGAATTGGAGAATATTTGTTCCAAAGGGCTTCCAGGGATATTTACAGGTAAAGACATAGACATGTAATTAATTTAATAACTATGGAAAGTGCATATTCATGTGATTAATGTACAGTCTTGTTTACTTGTATTATATGCCAGTCATACAAACAATTATATATATGTCATTGATCATTATTGTGCAAAATTTTAATCTTTTATCTTTGATGTATTAGGCATTTATATTTAGGCATTTATATTTAGATGGAAATATTGAAATATATATATTTGTAACATAGGAGAAGAAATGGATTTGTTGTTATTGCCATGGAAGCAATGGATCAGCTTCTAGTAGCGTGCCATGCTCAGACATTAAACCTGTTTGTTGAAAGTTTTTTAAAGATGGTACAGAAATTGTTGGAATCTACGGATCCGCAATTACAAATACTGGCAACCCAGTCTGTAAGTTTCATTAAACAATTTGAAATACCATATTATTATATTTATTTATATTTTCTTTTATTTTCTGTCTTATTTCTTGAATGTTATTTTATTATTCATTAACATGAAAAATAATTATGTTTTTGACATCTTTCAATTCAGTTGAACAAAGTGCTGGCTTCTTCTAGTTTGTCCGCTTTGCCAACATCGAGCAAGATACGCCGTCTTATCACACACGTTACGATTTCTTTGTATCAAAATACTCTGCGATGTGCCACTCGAACCACAATGACTCTGCAATCCGCAAACAGATAAGACTTGCTGGGATTCAGGGATTACAGGCATGGCTTTTATACATTTAATAGTTAGACAGAAATTTTTTTATGAATTGAAATTAATTAATTATATATATATTTGTAGCTTACAAAAATCTATTATACTATATTTCATAATTTAGGGTGTTGTAAGGAAAACGCTTTCTGATGATTTGGTAGAAAACATTTGGGAACCTGTACACATGGATAAAATTGTTCCTTCGTTGTTGTATAATATGCAAAATTCAAGGTGATGATTGAAAAAACCAGTGCGTACATTGCGTAAACTATGTATATATTCACAATTATATTTTAATAGATATTCTAGTAAAGAAGATGCAACGCCAGATAGCCCAACTGAAGGACGATCTGATCCGCCACAATTTGCAGAAACTTGTATGCGAGAACTCGTTGGACGAGCATCATTTGGTCATATTAAATGTGTCATTCGACCTGTTTTAAGGTTTGTGTTTCCCAGATAAAGATTTTTTTTTTATTTTCGATTTCAAATTTGAGACATTTTATTGTAAATAAAATTTCTATAAAAATTATTTACAGGCATTTAGATAATCATCAGCTATGGGTCCCTAATTATTTTGCTATCCATACATTTAGAATAATTATGTTTTCCATTCAGGTTAGAAATCATTAAATATTCTTATTATTTATCAATATAAAAAAAAATGATCGATAAATATAAAAATATTTTTAGTCACAATACTCTTACACAGTTGTGGAAGCATTAATGACTCATCTTGATGATCATTCGAAATCATCGCCCAAGATTCGAACAAGTATCGCAGACACTTTATCTAAAATTATTTCCATTGCAGCTGGTGAAAGTGTTGGTAAGTTTTAATATATAATAGAATTTGTTTATTTGTATTAAAGAATTATATAAAATGACATATTTTTAAAGGTCCTTCTGTTTTGGAGATAATAAATTCTCTGCTATCTCATCTTCGAGTTAGTGTAACAAGAAATCAATCTTCAAGCAATGACGAACAATTGTATCAAGAGGCTCTTATTAATGCTCTTGGAGAATTTGCAAATCATCTTCCAGATTATCAAAAAATAGAAATTATGATGTTCATAATGAGCAAAGTCCCATACAGTCAACCAGATCGTATAGTTTCAGTTGGTAAAGGCGATGTATTACTCCAAAGTATTCTTCTAAAATCTCTTTTGAAAGTAATTATACATATACACAAAAAAAGAAACTCACATAATGCATATCTTTAACTTAATACGTTCGTATAAATACACTTTAGGTTGGCACAAAATATCAAACTATACATTTGAATACAACTTTTCCACCAAGTTTTTTGGAGCCATTATTAAGAATGTCACTCGCAGCAGATGCTGAAATGCGACTTTTAGTACAAAAAATCTTTCACACCTTAATCGACAGACATCAGAATATTATCAAACTTGCGAGACCTACGTAAGTTATCAATAATAAATTTTTTAAATTTATATTATTAATTACGTTAATTGAATCTTTCAAAATATAATTTTATCATTTTTATTAAACAGAGTAAATGTTGCACAACTTGATCTTACAATTGAAAAAGCATCCAGACCAGACGTGATCTTTATTCGTAAACATGGCCCTGAAATCTATTTAGCGTTATACGAATCGTTAGAATTGGCAAGTAATAAAGTGGAAAACGTAGAATCTATATATACAACATTGGCATTACTTGCCGTGGAATTGGCTTCTGAAGAAACTGTGTTAGAGTTACTGAGATTAGTACTGAGTCTTCAAGATTTAGCTTTAACAAGTAGCCAAATCAGTGTTTCACTCAAATTTAATTTACACGCTATTGTCATCAGTTTGCTTGTACTAATATCTTACGTTTGTAATATTACTTCGCTAATGGATTACGCGAGCAAGGTAAATTATTTCATTTGTTTGTAGATTCTTATTGATGACAACCAAAATAATTAATTTGTATATTTTTAGGTTGTAGAAGTACGACGGAAGGAAGCACCTCATCTTTTGCCTGATTTGCAATCTCAGTATGATACTGGCTTATCTTTTAGATTAGCACCCGCCCTATTAGTTGATCAAACTGTTTTAAGCGAGTGTTTGAAAGGAGCTGGTCTTGACAGTGGAAAATTGCAACAAGGATCTGGTTATAGTAGTATCTCGCTACAACATCGGTAAAATTGCTGCAATTTAAATTTTCATTTCCTTATGTTATTAGTTGTAATATTTTTCAGATGTTATTAACATTTAATGTTTTAGACACTCGTGGGTCGACAGTGCTGGGCGAAATTCGTTAGGCGATATTAATTCTGGTGCTACAGAATTAGATAGTGGCGGTTCATCTCCTGGTGTTCAAAAAGTACATTCCTTACATGTAATTCTAATTTATTTGTAACTTTTTAATAATCTATGTTTTTTATATTTTCTATTCTCAGAAATTACCAGGAGAAGAGTTAACTTTTGAAAGTATGAAACGAATTTTAACAGAAAATAACAATAATCATGTCATGGAAGAAGAAAAACGATTACAATTATCGCACTTGTTTAGAAACGCACCATTTCAGGATTTGGTATCAAAAACACAACCGAAGGTATGAAGATAGTGAATAACTTTCTTATTAGTAAAAAGTATAAAAATAAACATAAGTAATTTTGCAGCATGATGTTTTACAAAGTAAACTATCAGAAATATTTAATACATTATCCGTTGATCCACGAAATACAAGCCAACCAAGTGGACCACCAACAGATACTAAACCAAGTCAAGCCCCAGCTTATGAAATACATTTCCCAGAATTATTTGTTTATTAAAATAACGAGTTTTTTGTTTGCTGTGACATTTTTATTAAGTTAAGAATATTACAATGGCTATATGTCAATTATGATCAAACTAATTTATTTGTACATTTTATGTTAAAAAACTGTGGAACAACATTTGTACATATAGTGCATTTTGATATCATTTAATGCATATAATATTTGTTTAATATTAATTACATTTGTGTATATATATATTTTCTTTATAAATAATTAATATTTATTATAATTATTACTACAATAAGTATTATTTCAATTTTGGTAAATTTATTGCTCGTTATGCTATCAAAGATATTAAAACTAATTTGAAATTATTTCATAATTATAACGTGTAAACTAGTGGTGTGTAATAATGTAACACATTCCTTTTGCGTAATTTGTACTGACACGTTTACGCATTAATACCATTATTTGTACGATATATAGTATATTGTTAATGTTATTTTATCAACAAAATTCATTTTAATATCTACACACCACTGGCGCAATATTGTATAAAAATGTAACAAAATTTTGAAATAACATAGTTGAAAGAAACGGTTATTATACAAAGTTAAAATATTCAAAACAAATCAAATTTATTGAATACACTGAAATCAAAATGATATATGTATATATAAACACAAAAAATTTAAATTACAATAGATAAATATTAATCATGGGCTAATAAATATATTCATATACTTGATGACAAGACAATCTTTTTTATTGAATTTTTCTGTGTAAAGGTTCATACTATTACATTATCAATAATTATTTCCTTTTGGATCATTGAAAGATTTTGTACAAAATATCCAAGTGATTGTTTATCAAGTACTATGTAATTGGAATGAACACAGATGTCAGATTACATGTTGGATGCTTCAAGATTTATTTAATTCAATTACTCATAACAGGAATGCAATTAGCCTCGAAAACGAGCAATGTAAATTTTAATGTTATAATGTAAAAATGTAAAAAATGTTCTAATATCGCACATTGGTCATTGATGATTTCTGTACAATTGTAGTTTAATTTGGAGTTTATATAATTGTGCAATCGTGGAAAAAACAGAATTTCGTTTTTCTCTTTTGGTTTTTATGAGCAACCAAATTAAGGTCAGTATGTAAAACATACCATTCATGCAATAACTACTTAACATAATGCAATTTGAAGCGTTTAGTTATCTGTGGTTCTGATGTGTGCAATCAATTTAATACACCTTGGAAAATTCTTCAAGGTTCCACTTTCAATAATTCCACATCAAAGATAAGAACGGCATTTGGAGGAATAGTGTGTCTATGTCAAGGATAATATTACAACATTATTTATATAATCATTAAGATTAACTTTTCTTGGCACATTCTATTATTGAAAATATGCAAATTTAACTAGTAGTAATAATAATTAACAACTATAGTTATTAGTATCAATTTCATACATTAATTTAATTTCAATTACTAATAATATGCAAATATTACACAAAATATAAGAATTTACACTAATTCCTTTTTGCACTGTGGATAATTTAAATAAATCATAAAATTCAATTGTATGGTTTTGCCTTATGTTTATCTCTGAAATTGATAATATTATAAATGTTTATATTGTATTAAAGGATATACTCCAGGATGCCCACGGCTACCATAGGCAAAATCTGGTGTGCAAGTTAGCTTTGCTCGTTCTCCGACACACATTTGAGCAACACCTTGGTCCCAGCCTTTGATAACTTCTCCTTTACCTATTTTGAATTTAAATGGTACTCCACGGTCCCTGCTTGAGTCAAATTTCTTCCCGTTGTCAAGTGTACCTATTAGACATTTAATAATTAATATTTTATAAAATTATAAATTATAAAAAGCTATATTTTATTTAATAAAAATTTAATTTAATGTAATTCGATCGTGATATTAAATGTTATTTTTTATTTTTAAAATTCATTATCAATGTATATTTATTTCAATATATATACATATATTTCAATGGAAATAACTTGAAAAACATTTACCTGTATAATGGACAACTACAGTTTGTCCGGTTTTCGGATATGTCTGGCCTGCACAGACAAAGCATCGTTACAAAAATCGCTACATTATAAATGAAAAGTACAAAATACTAAAACTTGATACAATCGCTGAACGCATTGAGTAAAGATCGAAATCACCTTATTTGGAATGGACCATCGAGAAAGCATGCTTTTCATAGATTTTCAGGTTGTAAATGAATCTTGTCGACTAAACTCTCCGGCATATATAATTAACGAAAATCAACCGAAGTTAAATAAAAAAAAAGAATCACCGATATGTAATTCGAAAAGAAAGAAGTAGCGAAAAAGAAAAGTGAAAGATCACAGAATATCGTGTACAGAATAATTACCATCTCCAGGAGAAAGAACTTCTACATCCACGCCCATGACTATGTATTTTATGTTACAGAAATCGGATTTCTAACGAAGAAATAAGTAAATTTTATTATACAAAATGGGCGATTCGTATTGCTAAGCAGAATTCACATAAATGCGAGTCTCGTGTCTGCAAAAAACGATACTAAGTCCAATGCCGTTCAATGAATATAACAAGGTAACTGAAGATACCCTCGGGAAAGAAATTTTAACTGGAAAAGCCGCCGTTAGGTTCGCTGTGATTCGGATCTTCCGGTTAATATATGACGATCGATGCGAACATTTCCCATTCCGCTAAATTTGAAGTAAATATTTCGTTGACTTTTGCACACATGTTGTATAAAAAAATTGTATAATTAACTATAATTAATTATAATAACAAGTTCTTCAATCAATCACGTTTTGAGAAAGAAAATAAAGAAGCTTGTCTTTCTATTGTAAAAAGAAGTATTATAATTAGTTTGTATTGAAGAAAGCACAAACACATACTTTTATGATCTTTATTTTTCATGTATAAAGATAGTAAATAAAATAATTAATTAAGTACTTGTATATGGAATTATTAAGAGCTCGCAATTGTACGATAAGTTCTTATAATAGAAAATATATTTACAAATCGAAGTTAGAGTTGTACTCACAACAAAAATAAATTAAAACCTATTTTTCTTTATAGAGAATTATAAATATTAATACTATTTATATTGATATACATATATAAATATATTCATATAAATATATAAAAAATGAATATAAAAAAATGTATCAGAATTCGAATAAATTCACCCCATAAATTCATGAATTAAAATAAAATATATAAAATATTTATCTAATAATTAAAAGGACAAATAAATTGTTACACTACAAAAAGTAAGTACATTGCATAATCAAAAAATTAACTTTAAATTTAATAAAACTTCTCACTATCAAATATTACTAAATAATCAGCACCATAAATTAAAGATATAAATTTTAGTCTAAAAAAAGCATAACATTTCAAATACCCATGATTTGAGATACAATATTTGAGTAAATACTAAAACTTATTGTTCTTTTTCTCTGCAGTATATACTCTTTCTAATAAAGCTAATGATATACTTCCAGGTATTCTTTGATGTTGAATAATTAAATTATTGAGTGCATCAGCAACCTGAAAATACGTTTTTCATGTATGTATACTGTTTTATTTAAAGTTCAGTAAAACTAAAAAATTTGGATATTTATTACCTTTATTTGCAACTCTTCTGGTGTTAGATTTTCATCATATGAAATTGGTTTACCAACATATGTTGTCAACTTTACAGGAAAACCACCATAGATAGGTACAAAAGGAAATCTGGTGGCAGCATATATTCTCAACCACATTCTTCTACCCCAACTTATTGTTCTAAATGCTTCTCTAATATTTTTTGTAAATAAAGGTACTATGCACTGTTACAAAAATATTAATATTTAAAAATAATACATATATAAAAAGTAGCTATAACAAAACGTACCACTTTAGCATCCAATGCAACTTTTGCAAAACCTACTCGTTTCTTCCACATTAATTGATAATAAGAATCACCAAATTGAGCTTCATACACACCACCAGGTGAAATAGCAAGCATATTACCTTCTTTCAATATAGTAGAACATGTTTGAATTGTACCAGGTATAACTTTTAATACATCAGAAATTATAGACCATCCAGGACATTTAAAAAGAAATCTGTCTGCTACTGTATGAATTAATTTTGAATTTAAAAGCAATATTTTAGATATAAAGTAATAAAGATCTATAGGAATAGCTCCATGATAATATACAAAAAGTATTGGTTTATTTTGTGGTATATTTTCAAGCCCAATTACTTCATATCCTATAAAAGATAGATATAACAAAATTTTACTATGTAATATAACAAAATTTTACTAAATTTTACACTTCTTATCTATGAATATATTCTTCACAGAAATTATATAATTTATTTTTATAAAATTGACTATTATACTTAATTAATTTAATATGTAACATACCATACCAAATCCAACCATGAGCATCCCAAACTGCAGCTACTACATTACGAGCTGCATTTCTCCAATCTGTTCCATATGCATTTCTTAATGTAGCTCTATTAAATAAATCAAAATTATATAAAATAAAATAATTATATAAAACATCACTAATACATGTTGAAAGTATAAAAACCCACCTGTGTAATTTATACACATACAATATTAATGCAGTTAAATACAGTAATACTACGATCACAAGTGGAAGAAGGAATGTTATTAAAAGTGGCATTAAAAGCCATGATAACCAGAGTGTAAAATCCACGTCGATATATTCAACTAAAAAAATATAAAAATCATTTATTATATATAATCGTTATACAAAATTTTCACATAATCTGATAGATAAATAATATATAAAACTACCAAAAAATTTGTAAATTTTATTTAAGGTATTAAAAAGTTAAATATATTATTACCGACAAAAAATACTAATCTATTATCTAAACATGCTTATAATGCTATTTTGAAAATTACTGATGTCGGTGTTTTTTGTTTATGTGCATAAAATTACATTATACCAATAATATATACATATACGTATAAAATTATATTTTTACCTATAGTATCTTCTAAAATTTTCCGTAGGTTAAATATTATGGGAAACATGTTTAGATTACGAAAAAAGTGAAAACAATAGTAAATGTATTATAATTACAAAAAATCTGATACTTCTTTATCAAACACCCACATATTCACTATTGGCAATATAGGCATCAGTCTGTTGATTTTGCTTCCGTTTTTCTTGAATCACTCAAATACATTCATAATTATATTTAATTACTTATTAAAATGCATTATTTATACTTAATCAAGATGCATTTTGATATTTGTCACTTATCACAGTTTTCTACGACTTCGTATAATTCATAAATAGTTTTGATTATTCTTTTAATAATGTCACACAAATTTTACAAATTATACGTTTAAATTTAAGAATTTATTTTCTTGTTAAATACTGAAGGTGAATAATCACAAATTCAATAAATACATATGAACAATATACATGATACGCTATAATAATTAGTCGGTGAATCTCAAGATAGTAGTGACTAACTTCATGTACATTGTTTTGAATTTACAAATATAACATAAACACTCCTTATTATATTAAAATTTTCAATGGTTACGTACAACAGAATTAATACTTTACTTAACTCACTATATTTGTTTAAATATTTATTATTTATAGATCAAAAATTTTAATTCATTATATGTTTAAGTAGAATATATGCTTTAGCGTACATATGAATTATAATTTTATTGCATATGAAAATAATGAGAATATTACAATCAAGTATGAACAAATTTAAATTATTTAATAAATTTATTACAATAATCATTTTAAAAATGGCGCTGAAAATTGAAAAAAATAAAATAATATAAATCACGGATTTTGAAAAAAAGAACGAAATTACTAAATAAAATGTATTTGGAAAATCGAAGTGAACGAAATAATTACGAATATTCACTTATACATAAAAACTTTAATAGATTGAAGAATATAAATTTTAATAAATGTTTGGAAAGTTGGAGAATATAGTTAAGAAGTCATGGAAAAGATATTCGATATTGCTCTGAAGTTTGGCGATATATTTCGTTGGCGAACTTTCGTACTAATATATTGCCACTATAAGGAGCAATTTCACACAACTTTTAATCGTTACCAATAAGACTGAAAAACGAAATAAATCAATTTGTAAAGTGAATTTGGATACGTTCCCAGTTTTTTCCCCATTAGTATTGCAAAATATTAAAGAAGATTACGACGTAACTAAATTATTCTCGTATATTTATTCTCGTGTTTATTTAATATTGTACTTTGAAAAATGTCTATAGTCTCGTTTTTTCGTTGTAAATGTGTAACACTGGGTTATTTATGAATGTTGCTTCAGGTAGAGACTATTACTTTCGATTTCAATAATGTATTCGCATCATTGCTAACATATGATATCAATTCTATGTGTCATTCATCTTGTACAACCTGTGTTTGATTAAAGATATTTCATTGACAAAGTTTGTTGCGATATATTGTTACTTTAGTCCGCAATGAAATGTGTTAATTAGTGGGCGATCAACTTCATCACTACGTGTCAGTAGTTAACAAAATTATCTTATAATATTAACGTTTTTTTTTTTTAACCGAATATCGATATTATCCGACATAGTAGAAGAAAGACTTATATATACTTTTTCAATATTCTTTTTGAGATTTGTTTCTGTCGCGTCTATAAAAATAAATATACATAATATGCTAAATAAAAAAAATGTCTAAAAAGGTAATTGTCTTTTAAATCAAATAAAAATACATATGCATATATATGATCTTATGCAATGCCTTTGAAATTTGTTGCAAGTTGTATCAGTATGATGTAATTAATAATAATTATATACATTTGTATGTATATATTGTTATTTCATTAATGTCAACATATAATTACATATGTTTAAGCTTTTGTGCAGACTGATAAACTTTATGTTTCTGTAACTGATAATTATTTTCAGGTATAACATAATAATGCAATATTGAAAAATCATTTTATTAAGACAAAATGTCAGAGAACAATTTGCCGCACATTTCATATGGACTTGATTCACCTGGTAGGATAATACGTATAGAATCTAGTATTACTACAAGGTCTAATATCAGTCGTCTTCCAAGTATAGAAGAAACATTAAGAAGACTTGGCACAAATCTAAGGCCAGAGAGACAAATTAATGAGTCAAATAATGGTAAAATTGATTAAATAATTATATATGTATTAATAATAGTTTTTTTACTAGTTAATAATATATGATTTATACAGTTTTCAATTTTTAGAAATGTTGCAATTTCTATATACAGAAAAAAATTAATAGTATTAAAATATTAAATATTAGATTTCAAATGTTCATGTCTGATTTTCAGAGGTAGTGGGAGCATTATTATAGTTTGGCATAGATGTTTATTATACTATATATAGATATTGTACGTGCTTAGTGAAAAACACAATGATTACAACTATATAACTAATTAATAAAATTCTTTACTTTAAAATTTATCCGCTTGTGTTTTATTTTTAAATTGGACACAAACTTTTGCAATCATTCAGTATGATTTTTGTAATGTATATTTCAGAAACTTAATTATGTAATATTACTTATATTATGTATTAAAATATAAGATATTAATGAATATACTTGATTATAGAAATATCTGATGCTCAACCTCCAGCAATTGTATCAGATGAGGAACCATTACCTATTGTATTGTCAGAATCTGCAAATAATGCACAACCAAATGATGTGATTGATGGGCCATCTTCTCCGAACCAATCAGAAATTAATGCACCAGTAGTAAACACAGAAGATGAGTATGTATATTATAATTTAATATATGTAGAAGAAAATTTCAATATATGTTTTGTGACAAAATATTTCTCTTCAATTTAGCAAAAGATATTGTTGGGTATGCTTTGCAACGGATGAAGATGATACAACTGCTTCATGGGTAAAACCATGTCATTGTCGTGGCACAACCAAATGGGTACATCAAGGATGTATACAGAGATGGGTTGATGAAAAACAAAAAGGACGTGCAGGTGCACATGTAGCATGTCCACAGTGTAATACAGAATACATTATTGTATACCCAAATATGGGTTAGTTACTTTAATTTTTATAAATTTGCTAAATTTGTCATTATAATATAATTACTACAATTATTACAATATAAATACGCTACAATTATACGTATTTTACATATATTGTAAATGTGATATATTTTGTTACAGGACCATTAGTAATCGTATTGGACACTATCGATGGTGTAATTTTCCGAATTTGCCCATTTATTGCAGCTAGTATAGTTGCTGCATCTATATACTGGACAGCTGTAACATATGGAGCAGTAACTGTAATGCAAGTAGTTGGTCACAAGGATGGTCTAGCTATGATGGAACAAGCTGATCCTTTGGTATTATTAGTTGGTTTGCCAACTATTCCCATAATGTTAGTTTTGGGAAAAATGCTGAGATGGGAAGATCAAGCACTTAGTCTTTTAAGGCGACATGCATGTAAAGTTCCTATTTTGAGGCATTTCTTACCTAGTAGGTATGTACAAAATTTGAAATAATCGTATTGTATATTTTATATTTATAAGTGTTTATTGTTTTAGTCATTCAAGTGATGAGAGATCACATTCTGAAGATGTACCACCTATGAGTGATCCAGTATCAGCAACTCGTATCCTTTGTGGTGCACTTTTATTACCTAGTATTGCTAGCATATGTGGCAAAATATTTTTTGAAAGTATACATTCTAATTTTCATAGGACATTGCTTGTATGTATTCAAATATATTTATAATTAATTAAACAATATATTTATTATAATTAATTAAACAATTGTTCTGAACCCTTTATGTATTTTTGCAGGGAGGTATAGCATTCATAACAATAAAAGGTGCATTCAAGATTTATCATAAACAACAACAATATGTAAGACAATGTCAACGTCGTATAATGGATTATACAGAAAATAATGTTGCACTATATAGAAGACAACAAAATTCTGAAACCAATCAGACAAGCTAAATAAACATATGCAAGAGATTCTTGAAAGAATACATTATTGGAAGATATTACATTTCAGTTCAAAAAAACTAAACTTTATAGTGTACTTTTATGTAATAATATAAGTTTATGGGTATTTTAATCAGGTCTAACAAATACATAAGTTATATAGCTACATCCCCAGTGCATACACACGTACATACAAACATACAAAAATAATCATATACATAAATATAATTAATGAATTATTATCTATCTGAGAAAGAACAATTTAATTGAAAAAAAGAACGGAAATGTTACGTCTCTTAAATTCAATTATCAGGGAAATAATAATAATGTCCATTCATCCTTCCTTGCGTAATAAATAAGAATTAATACAATGTTGATGCCTTTAATACAATCCAATTTTCTTTCGTTTAAAAAAAATCATGTGAAAAGAAAATATCATTTATTATACTAAATCTGTAGTTTGTTATTGACGAAAATTGTATATTTTATGAAGTTAACATGACATGAGTTTTTTGTGCATTAATAAAAATAGGTAAAATATGTTTTTAAGAGCTCTTCACATTTTGATTACTAATGTAAAAAAGGATACAATCTTTAGAAAAATAATTTATTTCTATTATAGATAAGTCTTGGATTAGGTATTAACTTATATATTAATATATATTAAATAAAAGAATTTTGAAATAAAATTTTATTTTATGTAAATGCTTAATTTGCAAATATGTAAATGCTTTTAGATAAAACATTAGTAAACATCAATTTAAATCAATAAATTGTGTTCTACTGTCTAGATAATATAGATAATAATTAATAAATTAACTAACTTGTTACATAATTTTTTAAGTTAAATCATTATTTTTATTTCACTACCTGCCATTATTTTTTAGGTATTAATTCAAAGTATTTTTTAAAATAATCATCATTATTATATGATAAATATATAATAATTAATAATTATATAATAAAATATATAATAAAACTCAGGAAATGTTTCAAAAAAGAACTGTATAATATATAAATATATTTATTAAGCTATTTTTTTTTTAATGTAAATTATTTAGTAAGTACAATATATATTATTAGAAATATTAATTATCTTGAAAAAATTGAACTTTTTGGTCTGTAAGAACTATGTAACACATTCAAGTTGGAAAAGTAATATATACATCAAAATGTAATGCATATCCTTTTACAACAAATATGATAATCTATTTCTTAAATATTTTGTGATATAAGTAAGTATTATATTTTTTATACAAATAAAATTCTGTTTTTATTTAATAATTATCATATGCTTTTGTTATCACGTACATATAAAGTGTATTATAATACATTTTTTGTTTACATCCTTATTCTATATATCAATGAAATAGTAAATGTAATTATTTCATATTTATAATTTTTATACAGGTAACTTTTTCATACACAAAAATCAATATAAATGCAAGTAATTAAAAATTATAATCAATTTCAATCTAAAGTTTACAATAAATAAAAATCAACTATACCCAGTATAAACTAATATAAAATATAAAATTTGCATACTTTATATGATCCAAACAATCTCAAAATATACTCATATACTCTATATACTCTTGCAAAGAAGTACAAGAGATAAACACCAATATTATACATTTCATTAAAATTTAAATATCCTTAAAAATTTATAATACAATTATAAAAGTAAATGAATGCAATAAAATGCAAAATTTTTTAACAAATAGAACAAGAAACATTTTTTGATGCTTCAGGTCACATTAAGGGTGGTCCTGTGTATTTAAGACTTCCAGAATAAAAATCTGGTGGACCTTCAATAACCACCAATTTAACTTCTTCCACTATATCTGGTGAATCTGTACATAACTTTGAACTACTAACAGTTTTGAAAAATGTACAAGGTCTTGGACCCTTTCCAGAATCATCTACATCATAAGGAGGACTAAGTATATCCAGAAATGCAGCAGGACCTTCAATGCATGTAATTTCATGTAAGTTTTTATCTCTTGGTGTAAGAGTACATGCAGGTGAATTACTATGTAAAGATATTGGTTTGTGCCTAAGTGCCATTACTTCTTTGTTCAATCTGATTGTATGATCTTCATTTGCTTTTAAAGTATAATTGTTTACTTGAACTACACCACTGATTACCTATATTTTAAAGTAAAATAAACACAATTTTAACATAAAATACAAGTACAATTATTAATAATATACATCATAATATTATCAATAAGAAATGATATATATATATATATATCACCTTTAAAAATCCATACATTCCAGGATGATCATGTATTGGCATTGTGAATCCATGTTTTAATATAAAGATAGAAATAGCAAAATCTTTATTTTCAAATATGTCAATAACCCACATTGGTGCATGTTGTACTTGAATAAAATCAAGAATCTGTTTATTTAAATTTACATCTTCCGCTGTAATTTTGTTCATCAAATATCGTAATTTGTCGAAGTTCTTTTGACAAAGTTTAAATCCAACATTGCCACGTTCCTCAAACGTATTTAATGCTTGCTTCCATAGCGTTTTAATTGCCGCCGTCATGTTTATGTATTTATTTTATAATACAACTGTTATAAATTCACCTTCCATAAATCATATTAATATATCAATAATTTATTTAAAAAAACTCAAGATATGAACACAAATATCATACGCAATTTGGAAGTTTTATTAGTAGTTTTAATTACGAGTTGAAAAGTTTAATACAAAAAAAACATATTAATCGTTTAAATTAAGGAAACATTTTCATAAATACCATTCAAATTTTACACACAAATATTATTCACGTTCAATCTTTTCTCCGAAAATTTCATTAAATTAGAGTCATCAATATTGTTGAAAATTGTTTTATATTTAGAGGTTAGATAAATTGTGTATTTATGTTTTATCATATATATTATATAATTTCTTAATTAATACTTTTTCAACACTTTTTACAAAATAATACAAATTATTAATTGCTTATTCTTTAATTAATCTGGTCCCTGCACATACTTCACATTTAATAGAAAACTTTGCTAAACATGGCTATGTGACTTGCTCTGATACCAACATAGATGATATTGTAAACATAAATAAAGTTGTAAAATTTCTATTTAAACAACTTTTTTTTTTGTTTCCTACACTGAATGTATGGATGAATATAAATTGTAATAGTTTAATAATATAATAATTTATTTACGAGGACGATAATTTAATTCAATAATTTTACTTAATAATAAATAAATAAAAAAAGAAAATAAGTTATTTCAAGTATTTAAAAGTATTTAAAACTATATTGCTGCAAAAATGTTTTCACACAACAACGTTTCTCGAGGGAAAAAGTACTTTTTTTATTGAGACTCATACATTTAATTAAATAATAGAAAAAAGATAAGGTGTAAATATTTTAATTGTCGGACAAACATTAAAGTTTTACAATTGTTGTAAAAATAATTTTGAAAAATATTGTAAAAATATTTTTAGAAAATGTTACAGCACTTTAATAAATACGAGCTATTCTCATTTTATAATAATATTACGAGTTAAGAATAATTGGAAAATTATTCGATTCTGTGAATTTGGGTTAACGTTGCCCAGAAAAGAATGCCCTCTATCGTAAATGCTAGCAGTTTAGCATTGAGATGAGCTTTATTTATTTACTATCAGAAGCAAACTTTTCTGTAATATAATTATTAGTGAAAAGCATATAACTTATTTCTCTTGTTATAAGAATTCTGTTGCGAAAGGTAGGAGCAGCTAAAAGTTTCGTACTTCTAATTTCGTATATCGATTAGAATTTATAAATTGTGTCATGTAAAAGTGCTTCAGAGTGTTCAGTAAAAGTGTTCCCTAATTTAACATTTCGTTAACTGGTACTTCTTTTCTCCTTTTAATTTAAAACTATAAATTCTCTTCATTTTTATTTAATGATTTCTATATATTGTGTATTATAAAATTTTGTATTAACAATTATAAAATTAAGTGTTGTTTATAGTAGTATTTTGATATATATATACACACACACACATGCACACACACATATCTCATATATATGTATAAATAAATGGTTTAAAAACCGTTATCTGTATTTTATTTTCATAGTTTTGTTACTTTAAAAGTATTTTTATTATTAAAACTTATAATGTTTAAAATTAACGAATTAAATTTATTTTATAAATATATATTTTATTTCTTGGTAAAGTAATTTTACATGTTATTAATTAAATATAATATTGTGTAGCTATGTCTAATGAGGAGCGTTTGAAGAAGCTACTATCTGACTTAGGTAAAGCTACATTACGTGGAATTCGCAAATGTCCAAAATGTGGAACTTATAATGGATCTCGTGGTCTGTGTTGTAAAAACAAATATTGTGATGCAGTATTTAAGGAACCTGGTGAAAAAAGAAAATTATCAACAGAGGCATGTAAACTTATTACGGGCACAACTGCCCAAGTATTTTCTGTTAGAGTACGCGATAAAGGTCCAGATTATCGTGGATTTGTTCAATTACCATTGATAAATGCTACAATTTCTAATGAAATGACAACACTTATTTCACAATCCACTGCATTATGTTTTGTTGATAGTTGTGAAAGAAGTTTTGATACTAGTGTTCTTAAATGTCATGTAAGTATTTTACACATAATAAAATACATGTTATCAACATAATGTTAACAATGATAACTATTGAGTTACCTAAAGAAGCTTTAATAGTCAATTTTCACAGGAAAAGAATTCGTCCGATGTACCTGTGTCTGCATGTCAACATATACAGGCAGCTTTAAGATGCTATGCAGAAGCGCAACCATTAACTTTAAGGAATTCTATCCTATCGTCTTTGAATGTAAATAATGAAATGAAACAAGAAATTTGGTTGCTTGCTACAGAAACTTCAGGCCCTTTAGTACAACGTGTGTCCAAAAATATAATGGCAGTAAAATGTAAAGCTTCACCAAAACATCCATTAGGTTATCTTCATTTTTCTTTCTTCGTTACAAAATTAAAAGATAGAATTGAGCATCGTTATTTTTGTTCTTGTTCCACATTTAAAGTAAGTATTGATAATACAAATTATATTTATATTAGTTATAATTCAGAATATTATTCACAGTATCAATAATTAACGTAGGGTATAGGTAAAACAGTAGGAGATAAACCAGATATGGCACAGTCTTTTCAAAATAAACGTTGTGTACATTTTTATGCTTGTATTTGTGCATTTGCTAGTGATGCAAAACTATCGGAAGAATTTAGTTATTACATTAACTTAGATCAGAATGATTTAAGTATATCAAAACCATTAACAACAGTATTGCAAAATGATGAACAAGATAAAATAGTAGGCATTGGTAAGAAGATGTTAATTATTTTGAATATAGTATAAGATATTTATTTCATAAACAATTTTAGATCTTGATGGCTTAACTACGGATGATACAGATACACATCTTTTAATATTTCGAGATGATACTTTAACAGTTCAAAATTTAGATGGAAATAGATTAGATTTGGATTCCATGAATTTAGAATCTACAATTCTACCACATAGTATTGTTGAAAATATTGAAGTAGAATGTGATCGTACCTTATTAGAAGATAATAATATGATATCACAAGTAAGAATTTATTATATGTTATTTATTTGTTCATGTAAAATCGAAATTATAATTACGAATTACAATATTGACAATATTACAAAATTTCTTTGAAATTTAGGTGAATAATTTAGAAGTAATTAATGAAGATGGTGTACAACTTGGTGGAAGCACTGTTAAAATAATGGATGATCAGACAAGTATAGATTCTAAATATAATGTGCTTAATAATAGTCAGTACATATTAAATGATAATAATATAAAGATACTAAATACTGGAACTTTAAAAGTTCTTGATACAAATGCTATTTTAAATGTAAATAATATGAAATTAATTGATACGAATACCGTTTCAAATACTACTGGAGTAAAAATAGTAGATAAGAATATGTTAGTACAATATGATACTGGAAGTATATCAAATACGGAAAGTATAGCACAGCCGATTTCGACAAAGCGAAAAAGGGATGATAAACCAACAAGCACAAATAGCACAAGTCTGAATAATTTAAGCTCAATAGAACCAAGAAAAGCTAAAACAAAATTACATATTGTTAAAAAATATCAAAATCCTTGTGAAGACCTAGATGAGGCTAACATAAATTTACCTTTCATTAAATGGCTTGCATCGATAACAGAAAGAATAAATCAGACTATGCATTTTCAATTCGATGGAAAACCAGATCCTTTAGTATTTCATGTACCACAAATATTTTTTGATTGTTTACGAGAAAGGATATCTTGTGGTGGTAAAAAAAAACGTTTGCCAAATTCGACAACTGCATTTGTTAGGAAAGATGGTGTGCCGTTAGGTACTTTTACCAAATATACGTGGCAAATTACTAATATTTTACATGTTAAAAGTATTTTTGAAACGCCGCTTATACCTTTGGAAATTACAAGAAGTTTTGTTCAAAACGCAGATGGTACATATGAATTATATAAAAGAGAAGAAACGGAAATAGATCGATATAAAAAAACCAATAATAATGCATTAATTAAGCCCCTAGAATTAAAAACATATTTGAAAGTTGGTAAGTATTAAGCATGCAAAAAATATAGTTTACAAATTATTATATGTTATCTAAAATATCATATGTTATTTATAAATATGTTATTTAAGAAACTACTATTAGTTATTTATAAATATTATAAATATTTCATTTTATTTTATAGGAAATACTTCTCCAAATCAAGTTGAACCAACACCATTCTTAATAGAATGGATACCAGATATTTTACCAATATCAAAAATTGGTGAACTTAGAATTCGATTTGAATTTGGTCATGTGAAAAATGAGACAAACCATAGATGGAGGAAAATAGCACTATTAAAGAATTATTAAATTTTATATATTTGTATTTATATTATAAAATTTTCACTTTCCTAATGATTGATGAAGTAAGATATGGACAAAAACAAACGAGAATCATTTTATGAGTAATTTTCTATATTTCGAAGATAATTTAACACTTTGACGTCTGGTGACACCAACTTGGTGTCAAACCGTTCGTTATTTGCCGATGGTAGCACGTTAGAGTTGAAAGGAAGTTGGTGCAGAGTGTCTTGGAATGATCGTTACTCTGTTTATACAATTCTTTCATTCGCGAACTGCTCTTGGCCTTACAAGCTCCGGACAAGCGAAAATCTAACTTGTTCTTTTCGGAGCTTTCAAGAAACTTCGGTTGATGTGTAAATCTTGCAAAGTTGTGTTACATTTAAGGGACTGTTTTGCTAGGTATCATCAAAAAGAGAAATATTAAATGAATGCAGAATTTAGTTAAAATGGAGTTATTTTTTTTTTATAAAAAAATATATAATTAAGCTAGAATATATTGTTTTTTTTCAATAATCTCGATAAATCATATTTATTTACATGTATCATTTCATAAAAAGCAGCTAAGTTTTAAGTAATTATGTTGCTTAATTACGTGCTTTGTACATTTTAATGAACAACTTTGCAAAAAGTTCCGGTGACAGAAAAGAAAGTTTTCGTGAACCGTGCAGATGTGAAAGTGTTAATATATCAGACTTTTGTTAAAAGAAGATAATGGATGGAATATTTTCATCTTTATGCAAGGTGATTGAAAATATCATAAATAATTTTTGTTAGTTTCTAAAGTAATAATTAAAGAATTAAAGACTGATCTAATTTTATTGTGTCCTTTTATAAAGATAAAAATTAGAGAAATTGAGATTTTTCATAGAATAATTGATTCATATTTTCGTGATATGAAGAATGATTATATTATTAGGCTGTGTTCCATAATGAATGGAGGAATATTGGATTTGTATTTATCGTTTGCTGTTCTTTGATTAAAAATTGTTTGGTATCTTTGGGTATTTTTTCACTAGAATCCCGTTGGAAAAATATTGTGGATGCAAATGATCTATTTTGTTTAAAATGTTCAAAAACATAAATGTTTATAAAAATTCAATATTTTATATGACATGACCTAATACATTATCAATATCTTCTGTGCATCAGAAGAATTCATGATGCAATATATCTGTTAATTAATTTATTGGAGCTGAACATAGCAAAAATTATGTTAATATTATTGTCAACAGTGTGCTAAATTATTATTGTATAATAATGTGATATATTGTAAATATATATACTTTAGATTGAATGCTGTTATTTAAGAGCTAAAACATATTTACATTATTTAACAAAACTTTCTTTGTTTTAAATCTTAAAATAAATTATATATCTAAAATATTTACAGTTTTAATTTTTTTTTTCTGCATATCATTTAAATAGTTTTATTGGATATATATTGTGTAATTTACATCATTATATAACAAAAATATTATTCTCATACAATTTTGAAATTTAAAAATTTTTGTGATGTATTGATATTTTAGTATACACATAATAATTATTACTAAAGAATAAATTTAAAAATACTTTAATAATAGATAAAATTTCGAGCTGTTATGAAAATATTATGTTGAACCACACAGTTATACCCATTTTCACATTTGTGTAAGTGAACAATTAATTTGTTAACAGTAATTACGTTAAATGTAATTATAGCTTTTAATTTTGAAGTTCACGTTCGCGCCTTTCGTTGTAATAAATTTGATAAATTTTCGAATAACTTGGAACAATTTTTCATTGTTACATTTATTCGATAGTTTATTTCTATCGAACTGTAGCGATTTTTTCCAAATATTACAATATAACATTTTCAAATTCTACTACAGGATCATTTATAAAGTTTTTTTTCTTCTAAATCGTATATTGTAACACGATGATTTTCATAACCTCCATGTTCAGAAGAACTATTGTTGAAACAGTCGTTTCTTAGTAAAAGAAACCTTATCTATCAGCACAATGTTTTGCAAGAAATTTTGATTTATAGAATCGTCTTGTATCCACTTCATGTGTGAACAATATGATTCACAAATAATTGGTGTAGTGTTTTGAGTTAAGATTCAAACGGAAGCATTACCCTGCCGGAAGCTATCTCTGACGTAGAGAGCTAAAGAAGCGTACACTTCCATTTTCTCGACCCTTTCGGCGAACAGGGAGCACGTGTTTGGTTGCCGGTTGTATTCAGTTCATTTTATCGTATAAAACTTTGCGTTAGATTTGTAACCTGTTCAAGTTTGGTGATCAAGAATCTGATCGTCGTATAGACAGGTTAATATGAATCCCGAAAAATTGAAGAAGCTTCAAGCTCAAGTACGAATCGGCGGTAAGGGAACACCCCGACGCAAGAAGAAGGTATATAGATTTATTCCGAAAGTTAACACAAGTTTACAGAATTCTCAAGATTATCGGCGTGTCGTGAGTTCAAAAGTTTACCGAAGTGTATATTTCAAGTGTCATTTAAACAATAAGATCTGCTTACTTTTGAAAAGTGTTGTTCGACTCATGACTATCAATTGCTATTCTTAAATGATACTAAAGCTTTGTAATTCGTGTAAGGCACGTTTTAATTTGACTAAATTATTTTTGTGTTCTTTATTTAATAATGTTGTTGTACCATCTGTATTGTTTTTCTAGTTTTCTCATGCTACAAGCTTAAGCTTTGATTTTGATTTTGTACTTCGTATTAAGTTTGACATAAAATCATCGATAAAAATTGAGTTTTTATATTTTTGAGAAATATCCTGTATTGAAGTATAAAAATTTACAAGAAAAAAATTCTACTGTTTGAACGATACGTTTACTTATATATGCGCAAATCATTGTTTAACTACATTTTTAGGTTGTTCATGCCACTGCTGCCACAGATGATAAGAAGTTACAAAGTTGTTTAAAAAAGTTGTCTGTGAATACAATTCCTGGTATAGAAGAGGTTAATATGATCAAGGATGATGGTACTGTCATACACTTTAATAATCCAAAAGCTCAGGCTAGTTTATCTGCTAACACATTCGCCATTACTGGTCATGGCGAGAACAAACAAATAACTGACATGTTACCGGGAATAATAAGTCAACTGGGTCCTGAAGGTGTAACACAGTTGAAACGACTAGCAAGTACAGTTTCTGGAAGCACAGTTGGTAAATCAACTTTGGAAGAAGATGACGAGGTGCCAGATTTAGTGGAGAACTTTGATGAAGCTAGTAAAGAGGAGGTATATTATGACTCCGAATAACATTAACTATTATATGTTTAAAGCTTTAAACTTTATATATAATGTATAGAAAACTATGGAAGTACATTTATTCTAGTGCATGTACGTTATCATAATAATATTATTTATAACCAAAATTATTCTTAATGGATTGCAAAATATGAAACTTATATCTATTAAAACAATAGGTCATGATGTTTTAATAACATATTTGATCATAGTTTGATTTTAAATTTTAATTGTAATATAAGAGTTAGCTCATATGGGATTAATATGTTCATAGTATACTTAATATTTTGTAGTTTTTTAAAGGTGTTGCACACTAATTATATAAATATTAATCTAAAATTATTATCAATAATTTACAAAATATGTTGCAGTTGTATAATTTGACTTCTGTATAGATATATGAGTATAATATATTTGTAGCATAATAATGTATATGCAGTATATAATTTAACATTTTTTCTTTTTTGTTTTTTTTTTAAATGTAACAAATAAAGAATGTGAAAATCTATTATTATAGGTCTTTTTTTTATTTATACATTTGTACCATGTTATTTGTAAGATCATTTTAGCTAAAAAAGATTATAAAGTTGTATATTGATTGGAAATTTTTTCTTATGATATCATTAAATGTGCATATACAATTACATACATTTAAGGTTGCTCCAAAAAAGGAAGTGGATGAAAGTGATAAAGCAGCTGGTGATAAAAAAGAAGCTGTTACGATTGATGAAAAGAAAGAAGCTCCCTTAGCTACTCCTGAAGCTTAAAGTGTTCAATAACAAGGTAATTTTCTACTATGAATCCACATGAATTAAACTGTATCAAAGGAAAATAAAATTATTTGTTTTTTTACAGCGATTTCACACAACAGTTGTAATTGACAAGTCGAACAATACAAGTTACAAAAGCAATGCGTAAACGAAGTATCACTATACGTACGTTATGAATATTTGACATACACTATAATAATGCTATATGAGTAACAGTTAAAAAAAAAAAAAAAAAAAAAAA